ATCTAAATAGACAAAGTAAGTTTGAAGTAGGGATGCACCGATCCCCTTTTTTCCACTTTCAATACTGATATCTGAGGTTTAGTACCAGTCTATGCAGAAAAACAGAACTGAATTGAAATATTTTAAACATACACACAAATTTATTTGATTGCTCAGCACTAGCACAGCAATATCTTCACAAGCTGGGTCGAAGTGAACTTAAATTTGTGCAATTTGGAGTATAACAGCCAATGTAAAACAAATACTAAAGAAAAGGAAAATGACGAAAACAACAGTCTTACTACTTTGGTTAAGCATGTGAAAACCTGCAAATGCAGAAAATGCAATTAGGAATTCTAAGTATAATGTAAAATAAATAATAAAGGAGAGAGCACCGATCATAGAATCATTGAATAGATCTGCTCTTATAGATCTATTCTAGGTCGGTATTGTCACCAATACTGACCTAGAATTTACTTCAACATCTGGACTGATACAGACATCAGATCTGTCCATCTGTAGTTTTAACCAGAGAAAGACAAAAATGTAAATGTGAGAAGCTCCAGCAGCTAAAGAGGAAATAGGGGGAGAAAATCCAGAAGCCTTTACCTTGTCCCTGGTGATTTTTGGGAAAACGTCCATCACCACATTCAGAGCGGAGTCAATGAACACTTGTTTCAGCTCTTTATAGTCGGGCCCTCTGTTCGTCACTTTGCCGTCCTTCCACTCCTCAAACCACGAGTATTTCGCAAAACTGACCACAGTTAAAGTAGATTTTCCTATTAAAACAAAACACACTGATGAAGAAAGCTTTCCAGGTGAGGGTGGATTCCCATCACCCAACGGTACCTGGTGATCTCTCCTCCCACGACGGATCTTTGGCAGACGGTGAGGCGACAAACAGCAGAGGTATTTTCTTAGAGGCCTCTTCTCTTCCATCATTTAAATATCTCTCCATCCTTTAATGAACAAACAGAAATCTGGTGAATTTACACAAAGAAGTTGCCAGCCATGAACAACTAGCATTTCCTGTGTAACAGGAAAGAGTAAAAGACAATTGGGATTAAACAGATTAAACAAAACAGGCATACAACTCATCAAAATTGTTGTCAGCAAAGATCCAGTAGTTATTTGCTTTCAGGCCCAGCTCCTCCCTGGTTCCATTTAAACCAATAAAGATGTTCAGACCTCCTTCACCATGTTTCACCAAACTGAGCTGCTTCTGGATCTCTGCAAGGCAGAAAATAACGACAAACTACTCAAAGCATGAAGACTTCACAAAGAAATACATAAAATAATATATGAAATATATGCAAAAGTATGCATAGTTCTTGAAATGTTCCCATGCTGTCATGTTACAAACCATAACCTTTAAAGTATTTTATGTAAATTTTATAGAATGAACGAACACAAATCAACATGTAATTAAATTAGTCAGAATAAGATAAACAATTTTTAGATTATTTTGAAAATAAAAAAAAATTGTCTGCACAAATTTACCTCTACATAACATTTGTAATTCAAATCAAATGCTACCCACAAAATTTTGACATTTTTAACCCAAGATTTATTCTAATATAATTCCAGGTTTTCTGGCTTGAAAGGACATTTTTAATCAGGCACACAACAGAGGCCTTGGGGTCTTCAGAGCAATTTTCTGTCTTCCACACAAAGAAACTGTGTGTTGTGTCAATTTCAATGTCATATTAATTTACATAGCATGTTTCCAACAGCTCAAACTGCACAAAGCGCTTCAAAAGTTAAATGCAAACAAGGATAAGTAAAATACGTATCATCAAATATAAAAAAAATGTGTTAAAAAGCAATAATAACAGCTAACAGATTTGGGGAATTAATAAGAAAGCTTGACAGTTTAAGTAAATCTAGGATTATTTTATGACAAATAATGAACTTGTCACAGTTTTGTGGTTGTACCTTTATGAAATTTGTTAAAGTTGAAGTGGTGTGAATATTTTTTGGGAAACATTGTAAATTATTGAGATCATCCATTGGTGCTGACTGACCTGGCATGGCCTGCAGCTCCTTGGGCAGCAGCTTCTCGTAGGTATTGAAGATACCGGCATCAGAAATGACCATGGGGGCTTTTATATGCACCTCCTCCTGACCTTTCAACACACTCACACCTGAAAACACAAGGACAAAACAGCTGTGGATCCATCTCATGTACAGCAAACTCAGTAAACTCAAAGTCAAGCTCACCACAAGCTTCCTTTGCATCGTTAAACAAGATGCGGTTGACTGGGGCTCGCACCAGAACAGCGCCCCCTGCCTTCTCGATGATGGGAATCATGTGGTAGGCAATCTCGCTGCTGCCAGCTTTAGGATACCAGGCGCCGCTCAGGTAGTGGGTGGTCAGCAAACTGTGCATGGCAAAACTGGCATCTTTTGGCTTATTACCTACAGATCAAAATAGAATAAATAAAAAAAGAAACAATGTAAGGAGCCTGCGAATACACAAAACTAAAAAAAGGCAGCAGGGCGTACCGTAGGTGCCAAAGATGTAGGTGAAGACAGCTCTGAGGTCTTTGTTCTCCGTCAGCTCGTTGACCACGTCTCTCAGGCTGCGTGGCGCCATTTTAAAGAAGAAGGACAGATGTTTGACGAGGCCAGTGTGGATCAGGAACTTGGCCAAAGGTAAGGGGCAGAGCTTCAGCACAACAAGGAGCCAGGTGCCAAACTCAGTTTTCTGCAGGAAAAACACAAAACACGTTTATTCACCTTGGTCACATTTTCCTGATTATCACACTTTATTTTGGAACACTTATCACTGATGTTTTGGCTTAAAGAGTTCTTGTTGTTCCCTCAAGGAATGTTTCCTGTGACTGTTATCTTGTTATTATACCCTTCAACTTTTCCAGTTTCAGTATCGTTAAACACCATAAATATAAAACCAAATGACCAGATCAAATCTTGCAAGATAACATTTTATTTCCCAAAAACGCAATAAATATTTGCATATCTTATTAAGTTTACCATCTAGGAGAAATGTCAGACAGAAATTTGAAGCACAAAAGGACTTAATCTTATTTATTATTCATTATTTCATTTAAAAAAATGTGATTCAACTATGAAGTGAGTGTAAAAGTATGAGTCCCTTTATCTGCAATCAGATTAAAGCTGCTGTTGCTTTTAACTTTTGAACTTTGATTATGATGAAACAACAGCTGAAATCTGAATAATAAAATGTTTCTGTGTCAAAGTGCAATGGGAGAAAATGCATCAGCTAAGGCGATTAGCGAGTTTATTACAGGTTAAATATACACATGCCAAGATTCTACCTTCACCAGCCTCAAGTACTCATCGATGGCCTTCTCCTCTCCAGGGAATCGCTTCTTCAGCTCCTCAAGGTAGCGAGCGCTGCCACTGAAGATGGGGTAGGAGCGTCGGTTTTCCAGAGACCCCAGCACAACGTGATCAAACGCCTTCTCCAGAGGCTCCCACTGCAGCTGACCATTGGTCATCTGGTCCAGCATGCAGCGAAAAGGCGAGTCACCCAACAGATCACCGATGTAATGGATTCCTACGGTTGAGTCAGAGTTAATAAAATGATGAATAATAACGAGTCCCTATTTTTTTAGCATTATTTAAGGATGCATAACTACTATCTCACCAACATCAAACTCAAAGCCCTTCTCTGTGAACGTGTGGCAGCATCCCCCGGCCCGATCATGCTGCTCCAGAACCAGAACCTTCTTTCCAACTTTAGCCAGCAGCACAGCCAGGCCGAGTCCACCGACGCCACTGCCGATGATGACTGCATCCAGGTTGTCTGGTACTTTACTGGCCACAAAACCTGTCACAAAAAAGTAAGAATTATGAATCACAGCTGTGGGTAAAAAGAGAAATGGACCAAATATTCCCAGAGCAAACAAACTCATGTTTAGTGAATATTTAACTATAGATTTAATTAAAAATAGAATCTTGATGGTGACTGCATCAAGGTTGTCTGGTACAAAACCTACAAAAATGCAAAATATGAAAACATATCTGTAAAAAAAATACTGAAGAAGAATCAATAATATTATTGAATTGTGAACAAATGCATGAGTACTGTATTTTAAAATGGATATTTTGTCTAAAACTAATATTTCCTAAGTGGTAGCTTCACAGTGAAATACATAAAAGATATTATTTTAAACATGTAATTTCAAATCAGTACAATAAAAGGCAATTCAAGTACAAACATTGATCAGTGCCATTTCAAATCATTAGGATACCCCCAACATAACATTGAAAATCATTTTCAATTTAGAAATATCCTCTTATAGCAGATGAGCTCACCTGAACACCGCTTTTCAGCAATGAGTTTCACAAAAATGTTGCAGATTTAAAAAAAAATCTATTTTTTTTATATTTTTTTTTAAATCGTGCACGAATACAACTTGCAAGACTTTAAATTGCAAAAATGTCTCTTGATAAACTCACCTTGCTTCAGGACTTTATTTTTCGTTTTTTCATCGTAAACTTTCTTTTTCAGCGGTTCTCGACAGTCATTTGCAAACGGGTTCGACTCTGGGCTGCTGAAGACATATTTCAGTGTAAATATTACCAAAATTACCAAAACAATCAATAAAATGGTCAACATTGCAAAAAAATAAAAACTGTCTTCTCTGAGTCCAGTTAACTTCTAAAACCGCACTGAGTCGTCTTCCTTGTCAAATAATATCGCACGTTGTTGCAAAAGCAGTAGCCAATCAGAGAATTAGATTTGTCATACGTCATGGAATTCTAACCAATGAGCGGTATGCTAGGTGTTACGTCCCCCAATGATGTTTTCTGTAAATAAAAGAGGCTAAAATGGACCCTAGTCTCATTCATAAGCACTCTAAAGTGAGTTTTAAAGTTTTTTAACAAAATGTTTAAACTTTCTAATGAAATACAACTAAGAAAACTTTGCTAATAAAAACAAAACACATAAAATCCCTGCTTTATACACCAATTAAAAACACAGAATTAACTAATATGACAAAAAAAGTTTTATAACAGATCAAAACATTGAAATTAAAGATTCAGTCATGAACAGTACATACTTTTTTTTAGATGTTGAAGATTTAAAACGTGGATTGTAAAGCTGCTGTTCACCATTTGAAACTTTCTGGGAACCTCAACTTAACCGAAGCAATTTCACAGCTACATGCAGCAAAATACCACATAAATGTATTTTTAGACAAAAATAAGAAGAGTACAAATGAAATACAAGCTTTAAATTAAAATTATATTTATTAAGAGAAAAATGCTACATCTAAATTAACTTGTTCACATGCAATTTAGAGACAGGAATCAACCTAATAATCATTACTTTGAACTGTGGGAGGAAGCTGGAGCACCAGGAGTGAACACATGCATGCACAAGGAGAACACACAAACTAAAATGAAGAAAAAAAGAGCAGGCTGGGAATCAAACCCACAACTTTCTTGCTGTGTGGTACCATCTGCACACCATGTAGTCCTGTCACCCTTCATCAAAAAAAGGAGAACATAATGGCACAGACACTGTGAAGTGGAGAAATGTAAATATGTACAAGAGTTAAAATGAAATTTTGCAATAATGTGGAAGAATTTTTTATTTTTAAGAAGAGTTGCTTTTATTAGTTTTTATTAAAAAAATGTAACAATTAAGGATTCCCATATGAGCAGCAAGTATTAAAGGAAGGCAGAAGCAAGCTGAGAGTTTGATCTGCTTTCCGCAGTTTAGTAACAGAGGCACACGAGTGAAGATTAAGATTCAAAATCCCTCCTCATCAAAGGAATAACTTTTAAAAAGTAGGGATTTTATGTCATTTTAGAAGTTTTTTAATCCTTCCTCAGGACCTTAAAGTGAATTTCTCTTCAAGAACAATAAAATATTAATTTTAGTCTTTTTTTTTTTTTTTTTTTTTTACAAACAAAACCAACATTTATACACCTTTACCCTCAAACTGAACATTCTGGAAGTCCAGATTGTGGGCCCCATCATTTGATGAAGAAGTTTTCATTTCTGTAGCAGTGATGCTTAAACAGAGCGAATAAGAGCTGCTATTCGTCTTTCAGCTTGTTGTTCATATATTTTGTCTTCTTTGCCAAGGCGATGGCATCCAGATGGAGGTTGCGGTTCAGAATGACCGAGCCACATGTGAGAGCTCCGGCAAGGGCGCCAGCGAAACCGCACAAAAACACATCCTGGCCTGTAAACAGAACATGTAAAAACCAGAGAAGGTGTGATTTATGCTGAACAATGGCATCGATTTTTATTCTCTGGTTGGTATAATGAGGCACAGCAGGACACACCTGTCAGGTAGAGGTTCTTCAGGGGAGTCTGAGGTCTTATTGTAGCGTTGAGCTCAGGGCTGAACCGAGCGATGCCGTGGTCCACTCCGTAGATCTCTCCTTTGGGGGCGGCGATGTAGTGTGTGTTTGTGATGGGGGTTCCAGCGTCGATGTACTCAATCTGCAGAAACACAACACGTTTCTGAGTAACAAGGAAAGCTAGCTTGATTTTTAAAAGGCATGTGCAACACCGCAATGTCTGACAATGTAATAAAAATTGGCTTCGAAATGTAATAAAAGATTATTAAAACTGTATTATCTAATAATCAATGGAAAATGGAATAAAATCCTTGAACTGGCTGTTGATTTTAACCTTACAGAAGAAGCAAACTAACAAAAAGGTTGGATTTTAAAATGCAGAGTGGTATTTAAGTGTCCCATTTTATCTTAACTATTTTAAAGAAAAATAAGAGCAACTTGCTCCTTTTGTAATAATAACCAGCGGAAAATGGAATAATGTTGCGACATAATACGGCAGAAAGTAACACAAAATGTGATCGAGGATTTTATTACATTTTACGGTTTAAATTATGTTTGAAACCCAATTTTGCTACATTACAGGCGTTATTACATAATATGTCAATCAATTTTACACAATGTGAATATTGTAAATATAACTTTGTCCAAAGAAACAAACATCATCCTTATGAATATATACAGACTTTGTACAATAATTCCTTAAAAAGGTTCTCACATCAAACCCAGATGCCATTTCTATAGATGTGGAAGGACATCAACATGGCTTTTCAGCACTGATTTAAATTAAAATTTTGCTAATTTTTCTAACTCATGGAAATGATCCTGAAGCATCATCAACTTACAAAGATTTCTTATAGTGACAAATAAGTTTCTGGTGAGCTTCCACAGACAAATTAAGTTTTAAGAACAGAAAGACTGAGGAGGAAATAGGGGAGAAAATCCAGAAGCCTTTACCTTGTCCCTGGTGATTTTTGGGAAAATGTCCATCACCACATTCAGAGCGGAGTCAATGAACGCTTGTTTCAGCTCTTTATAGTCGGGCCCTCTGTTCGTCACTTTGCCGTCCTTCCACTCCTCAAACCACGAATGATTGGCAAAACTGACCACAGTTAAAGTAGATTTTCCTATTAAAACAAAACACACTGATGAAGAAAGCTTTCCAGGTGAGGGTGGATTCCCATCACCCAACGGTACCTGGTGATCTCTCCTCCCACGACGGATCTTTGGCAGACGGTGAGGCGACAAACAGCAGAGGTATTTTCTTAGAGGCCTCTTCTCTTCCATCATTCATATATTTCTCCACCCTTTAAATAAACACAGGTAAATCTGGTGAAAGCTGTTAGCTTAGAGCAGCCTAACATTAGCAATACGAACAAGAGACTTGATGTCACTTTGTATCTGCCATTGATGCTAGAACAGCCGCAGTAACTCTCTCAAATTGAACACAAAGTTGCTCATGCTTCATGACCATTCCTAAAATCTCTTCAGGTGTTTATGGGATATTTTCAACAATAATTATCAAAGTTGCAACTTTATATACATCGACCTAAAGAAGGGCAGTCATTTTGACCTCATAGAAACAACAAAACATTTCTTGTTCATCTATCCCATTACCCATTAGACCTCGCCATGCCACTTATAACTGACAGTAACATTGACCAGCACAGTAAACACGGTTTGTTAGGTAATTGTTTTAAAATTACAAAATAGGTCTTACTGTAATGACAGGCAGGGCCGAGACGAGGCTTTTTGGGGCCCTAAGCAGATTTTTGTTGGGGCCTCCCATACCAATATGTCAACACCAGATGCTACATCATTCCTGAGCGACTCCATGTGTGTAACATGCCTACTGCCATTAGCGTCATTTGTAATTAGCTTTGATCATACCAGTGCTGTGATTTCGACCTTAAAGGAGTAGCAAACTTAAAAAAAGTGGAGAGTGGTATTTAAATGAGCCATATTATTTTAACTATTTGAAAGTTATCAGCTGATAAACACTAAATTTACACTGAACAAGTTTGACATCTTATATTTTACCCACAGCTACCAACTATAAAATAATACAGAAATCGTTTGTGCATACGTAATAGCAATAGAAATTTTGGCCTTGCTTTTGAATATGACTGGGAGGAATTAGATTGTTTTATAAGGAGGAATCCAAATCCAAAGTTTATTGACCAATACTACAGAAAAACAAGACTGAAAAAACCTTTGAAAATATGAATAAAACACCCGGTAAACGTAATCTATAAGCCCTGCAGGTAATCTCACAGCGAGTACGCTCTCAGCCCCACATAAAACAGACTGACGAAGGCCACAACGAAGTAAAAGAGTAAAGACTATGAAGTAAAACAAAAGACCTGCTACTGCTTTTTATGGATGAAAATGTGGGGAAGTGTGGTATAATTTCCAGCAAATATAAAAATTGTCTAAAAGTCACAGTTCACCTGTTTTATATGTTTATAGCTTCTTCTCTGTTTTACCAGGGGAAAAAAAAGCATTACTTTACTTTGAAAGATGTTCTAAAATATTTCTAAAAGAAGAAAAAAGTATTTTTGGATATAGCTACAATTAAAATCCCGAAATGGGGATTTTATGGTTGAATAAATTTAACACCAATTTTATTATGCTGGTCAACTATAATGTATGCACAGTATATAAAACTATTGATATTCAGCTAGATTAATTGTTTAAAAGTAATTTTCTGTGACTCAGGTACATTTGAAATTAGGACAAAATGGCTCCCTCTGGTGGTTCAAAGTAATACTGAACTCTATAGCTGCTGTAACACCGACGCTAAAACCGAGTAAAAAATAAAGGAATTAATAGAGAAAACATACAGCTCATCAAAATTGTTGTCAGCAAAGATCCAGTAGTTGTTTGCTCTCAGGCCCAGCTCCTCCCTGGTTCCATTTAAACCAATAAAGATGCTCAGACCTCCTGCACCATGTTTCACCAAACTGAGCTGCTTCTGGATCTCTGCAAGGCAGAAAACAACAACAAACTGTTGAAACATCATATAATGAACAAACACAAATCAGCATAAAACTGAAATAGTAGGAAAACCCTCAAATGTGGGAGATTTTTAACTTGATATTTGTTACATTTATTTTACTAATTTAATGGTTTATGTATTCGGTTAAATATATTATTAAATATATAAAGTTAAATAAATTTTTCAGCTTGTTTCCCAGTTTGTTCTCAAGCTGCAACACAATATGTTCTGAAACAAAAACTCTGCTTGAAAGGAATGTTTTTAATCAGGCACACCACAGACACCTTCGGGTCTTCAGAGAAGTTTTCTGTTTCACACACAAAGACTGTGTGTTGTGGGAAATTAAGAAAAAGACAGTTTCTAGGATCATTTCTACAGCAAATAATAATTACTCTGTCACAGTTTTGTGGTTGTACCTTTATGAAATTTGTAAAAGTTGAAGTGGTGTGAATATTTTTGGGAAAGATTGTAAATTATTGAGATCATCCATTGGTACTGACTGACCTGGCATGGCCTGCAGCTCCTTGGGCAGCAGCTTCTCGTAGGTATTGAAGATACCG